GCAGTGGCGCAATCTCAGTTCACTGCAACCTCCGCCTCCCGGGTTCAAGTGATTCTCCTGCTTCAGCCTCACGAGTAACTGGAATTACAAGCATGTGCCACCATGCCCGGCTAAAGTTTGTATTTTTAGTAGAGACGGGGTTTCACCATGTTGGTCAGGCTGGTCTTGAACTCCTGACCTCAGGTGATCTGCCCCGCTTGGCCTCCCAAAGTGCTGAGATTACAGGAGTGAGCCACCATGCTTGGCCCCTGCTGGGCATTTCTAACTGAGTGTTTCCACAGGCATCAAAACTGAACTTTGGGAATTATCCTAGTCTTCTCCTTTTCCCTTAGACTCCATCTTCAAATAGGCACCAATAACTGTATTTCCTATCTTCTAAATATTCCCCAAATGCATTCTCTCCTCTCCCTTCCAATTTTATTCAAGTTCTCATCATCTTCAGCCTTTGTGTGACAACTTTGCCCCTCTACTTCCATCCACAGCATTTTAATCCATTCACCCATTCTTTCATGGATTTATGTAACTTATACTTTTACAAAGAGCCTAATCTGATGCTTTTACTGAGCCACTGTGTTAAGCTCTAGATTGAGCTGAGTCTGGGAGAAAGACCGAATAACCAACAATGGCAATACAAATAAATTGATGTTGTGCTGGGGTGAGCCTAGGATACTGTGGGGAGGGGGATATACCTAATTTATCCTGTAAGGATGTAGTCCTCCTTCCTGACCCAATCAGGATCTTTCTAAAGTGCAAACCCAACACTGGCACTTTGTGGCTTAAAAACATTCCATGTCTTGGCTAACACGGTGAAACCCCGTCTCTACTAAAAAAATACAAAAAACTAGCCAGGTGAGATGGCGGGCGCCTGTAGTCCCAGCTACTCGGGAGCTGTCTCTTATACACATCTAGATGTGGGTGGGGGGCAAGGGCAGGGAGGTGGAGGGTCCCTGCATGGGAAAGGGGAAAGTAAATTTCATGGAGGAGGGATAAGCATTTAGAATTACTTGGTTGTCTTTATATTTTAGGCCTGTCATCATAGCTCTGTTCCCATCATAAAGGGAAAGGAAATATGAAGGACCGAAGTAAATGTCATAACATCTATTGAATTCAGTCTAGAAAGACCTGAATCCTTATAGCAGGTCAGGGTGGCCCTCTTACTGAAGGTAATCCCTATAGATATGAATTTCTGTAACACAGGTAGACATGCTCATGCACAGGATGGCATGTTTTTACAAGTTCATCTGTACGCAGCATGCCACTAACAGGACTGTCAGGAGGACTAATCGTAGGCTGAGGCTTGGAATCAGCAGGGCCAGAGGACACAGCTCTCCCCTTTGGTAACAGAACTCAAAGCTTTTGGGCACCCAGCATGGGCCTGGCATGCAGGGGTGTCAGCCTTTTAATGGAGTTCCACCAAAGGGACTAAGGTCTTTGTCGTGTCAGAACAGCAAGTCTCCTGGGGACTGTCCAGGGTCCTGGGCCATCTCTGCTTTAGGGTCTGTAGGCTCTCTAGGCCCTATATCTGGGGTGGGCCCATGACCCTTCTGTTTTTAATAATTTTAGTTCAGCTACCTGTTTCTACCTGGGCTTTATATGAATCTCCCCACTTTTTGTCTGCATCCACCCTTGTATTCCTTGGCCCACTTGCCTGCTTCTTTTCCACACAGGTGGTACTGCCATTTCCAAAAGGGGCAGCTATCTGCTGAATGTTCAGGTTCCCAGATCTTTTGGATTAGAGGATGCCCATGGGCCTGTCACAGGCCTCTGTAAGGCCACATGGGCTCACCTGTCTGGATGGCATTCAGGGCTGCATCCTTCTCCCACTGGAAAAGATTGTTCACCTGAGCACCAAACTCCTCTCTATGCATTGCCTTAGCCACTTCCACCAGCTCTGTCTGCTTAGCAGGGACCACTGGGCGGGCTGTGTAACCTAGGATGGGAGGGGATGAGTAACCAGGGGGAAGTGAGAAGGCCCTAAAACTAAGAGAAGGGGCCATGTCCAAGAGTAACCCAGTCTCCTCCTCCTGGGGCAAGTCAAGAACAGTGAACAGTAGTGAGAACAGGACAGGGGAGAGGACAGGTGCAATTACAGCTAACTCCTTTCTTCTTCTTCTTGCCTAGTTGGTGTCCAGGTTGGGCTGTGTGATCAGTGCTGTCACTGGCATCTACTCCCTTTTCAACCTCTCCTGCTTCTTCCTCCTGCTTTTCAGATGCGTCCATTTGGACCTGGGCTGAAGGGCCTGAAGGAGAGTGTTCTGGAAGGCTCTCAGATTCAGAGAAATGGGTAGACCTCCTTGTCCATGGGACCTCATTGGAAGAAAACTCAGAGGAGAGGTCTTCCTTCAAAGTATCAGAGGAAGACAGAGAGACATAGTTTCGTGATTGGGGAGGAAGAGTAAGGTGTTTCTCTGGTACCACTGAGATGGGACTATCCAATGAAGCCTCATAGGTAGGGGTCCCTGAAGGAGTCTCAGAGATGGAAGGCTCCTGATGGATTTCAGGGGAATAGGCCTCTAAGGGGATCTGGGAAGGGGATGGCACCAAAGGGGATTCAGAGGTATGGGGCTCTAAGGGGGTCTCAGAGGTGGAAGGCTCCAAGAAGCTTTCAGAGATACGGTTCTCCTGTAAGTCCTCAGCAGAGGGGTCCTTTGAAAGGGGGTGCTCCTCTGCATCCATGGTGGTATGAGGCTCTTCTGTGATCTCATCTGCTTCCATCTAGTGGTAGAACAGGGTACAGGCTTCATTAGTTTGGAAATAATGAACCCTGTAAGTCAGGGCACAGCCCAGGGTTCGCAGTGCATTATGGAATTTGGATAAGATTCTCAGTGCACCTGAGATATCAGAGGGAAACAACATGAACTCTGGGTCTTAGAGTGTGATGCCAGGAGGTTCACCCATGTGTCCAGACCTCATATGGCAGGCTGCTGTGGCTTGTTAGGGAGGTGGAACTTAAAGATTGAAAGACTGAAGTAGTTAGAATCTCATCAGTAGATGGTAGCAGAGAACCATGTCCCAGGAGGGAGTCTGAACACCGCCACTTGGCCAGTCCAAGAGCAGGGTCCTTGGCATTTCGTAAAACCCTGGAGGTCAGACCATGGAGTTTTAGAGACTGGCAATACCAAGCCAAAGTTGGGGTTGGCTCCTGAGAGTGCAGGGGAATGCTATGTCGCATAAGGCAAGACTCTACACACAGCCTGGTTTTGTCTAAGCACCACACACATCTTCCTCCCTTAATGATGTCATTCATGTTCAAAGCTTCAACTACTTCCCGTTGTGTACCAATGACTCCTAAATTCAAATTTCTAGCTCAGACCTCTTTCAACCTCTGTACTTCACACTCATATCCACCTGTCTGCTGGCCTTCCATTCCCTTCCCTCCTGTCCCCTCCTGTCCCCTCCCCTGCCCTCCCCCTCTCTCCTCCCCCTTCCCTTCCCTTCTCTTTTCTTTTGTGATGGAGTCTCGCT